ATTCAACTTCAATATTTAGATTTAAACAGTAAGATTTATGATTTAATATTTAAATATATTTTTTAACGTTTAAATTTAACAGTTAAATTTAAGAACAGTGAGGTAAATGTTAAATACTTTTAACATTTCATTTCACAATTGGTGCCCCATACAAGACTGTCCCACAAAGGTCATTTTAAAAAGTGGATTTCAAGCATTTCCTTTAAAACATTTTAAGTTCTTTAAACGTTCATAAAAGTTGAGACAAATTTGAATTAAATACTATGTGGGCAAACTTTCAAGTCGTAGAGTCTCCAAATCCCCAAAGAACATTCACAAAATGTCCCAAAAAGGACAAACGTTGGYACGCTGAAGTTAGTGATTGTCTGAGGAAAGTAACAGTCGTGCAGTCTGAGAACATCGAGCAGGGATGAAGGTAGAATAGTCTTTAAGCGTTAGCAGTCAAGCGTCTTYGTTCTCGTCCTCTGGAAAGAGCTCCCTGAGCCACGGCTTCATGAYGAACCGGGTCCCGTCAAAATGCGTGAAGTAGTTCTCCAGGGTGGGGATGTCCGGCTAGAAACATCCACACTGCATGAGTCCAGGCTGTGCAGAGTGTTTGTGTGAGGAGAACGTGTCACAGACTTACCCTCATCCCCGTGACGCGCTCAAGCTGCGTCTGAGGCAGGTACGCCACCATCAGAGAGGAGGGTCCRGGTCCGCCGAACAGCACTTTGTAATGCGGCGTCTTCTCTGCCTTTATGTCCTGTAGGTCGGGTCGTAACAACACCAGCAGTGGAAGTCAGGGACTGGGAGAGAAACTGTCAGCAGAAGCATCTCAGAAGTAGAAGAGTGTAGCGTGACCGCTAACCTCCGAGTTGGAAAACATTCGGTTGATCCATTCAGGAGGAGCTCGCATCTCCGCATCCCAGCTCACCACCACCCCGACCATGTGACCCCTCCTCTCCATCACCACCTCCCCGACTCGCAGGAACACATACGGGGGGCGAGGGCTGCGGACCGTCTTAGAGGCTGGACGAACAAAGACAAGAGATAATTTAAATTTTCAAAATAAAAGCTGCAGATTTTTACCACCTCAAAGATCACAGCTTTTTTTATGTCTTTGACTGCAGGTTGATCTGGAACTAATAAAAAAAAATGGAAGTAGTTAATGGGGCGCCAACTGTAAAATGAAATGTTAAAAAAAAATCAGTAAAATATTTTTCATTATTTAGTTCACTATTTTCCAGTAACATTTTATTGTTACATAGCTCACTGTTCTAACATTTAGCTATTTTTTACTAAATGTTAAATTTAAATATAAAAAATACAGTATAAGTAAAAATACGGTATATTTAAATATTAAATCCTAAATCTAAATGTTTAAATCTAAATGCAAAAGTTAAACCTTTAAATGATGTTCACTTTTATGTATTTTGGAATGGAACGCAGCCGCCCACTATATATACTCCAATACAAATTTGACATACCTACATTTAGTGTGATTTTGAGTAAAAATTTATGTGTATTTTCACACAAACCTCCAAAGAATCCCTGATCGTTTTCTAAAATCATGGTCTCTATGGGAGGGGACACTTGTGTCTCTTCTTGTCCCAAACCAACCAGAGATCTAGGAAGAACATATTTTATTGGTGAGCTTTAAATGTCTCAAGATAATTATAAACATATTAAAGACTTTAAAGGGATCCCTGATTAGTTGTAACATTAGTTGTAACTGTAAAATAAAAACTGTAAAAATACTGTAGGCTGTTTAGTTTTTTTAATTTTTAAAAATATATTTTAACACAGATGGAGCCATTTTATTTACACGCAAAGCATTATGGGTAAATGATGACGTGGATAGGTCATCAGTACAAGCGAGCTATATCCACCCTGAAAGTTAATCTTAGACAATATCTGATGATCGGCTCTTTTAAATGAAACCAGAGAGAGTTGACAGAGACAAGAAGGCAGAAACGATTCAGTCTGCAACTGAAAATATGGATGGAGGACAATAGAGCTGCTTCATAAAGGAGGAACCCCAGCTTAGCCTGTTAGCCTTCGTGCTAGCGTCAATGCTATATTGCCTTATATGCATTAGCTCGGTGCTAGTGTGGCAAACTAACAAGCTGAACCGAGCTCCTCCAACCATATTATCAGTTGCAGGCTGAGTCATTTTTGTGTTCCCTTCTCTGTCATGTGGATGGAGGACCACTGACGAGAGGAGACTGTGTAGCGCTGAGCTAATACACATATTTGTTGATAGCGTTGAGG